TGTGACATGCCGAGGACCAGCCGATGGGCTCAAGGCCTTTCTATCTGACTGCAATTAAATATCACATTGATTCCACTCCAAAAGATGACTGTCAGGAAACAGAACTGGCTGTTTAGCTCTACAGGCTGTAAAACAAGAGCTGATACATACGAACCAGAAGAGATGGATACACACTGCAATCCTAAATTATACCCTTCTAAAACCACTGGATTCAAGGGACTGAGAAAGGTATAATTCCACTCGGGATTGCACTGGTAGGAGCCTCTCTAGAACTCACAAGCTTTCCCCCCTTTCACACCCACTTGGTGGTTTTTTCTAAAAGCCAAGTCAATAATGCTAAAGTACGGAAAAATGTCCCTGATCATTCTAATTGAGTTCAATGAGTTGGTATAATTTAATTCAAGGTTTTGCAGTTGGGCAAAATTTTATCTTGCTATAACCTAAACTTATATAAACAGACATACCTTTGTAATTCTTTTAGAAGTTACTTATTGTCCACAAATTTTATAGGATTGTTTTACCCTAATGGCAACTGTTTAATATTTTATGCCAATAAAAGGTATTTGTTTGTTTTTTTAATGCTAAAGTTAGTGAACTCAATCAATCTAATTTATTGCAACAGGAGCCAGTAAAACAGTACAATTCTGATATAAAATGGATTAAAACAGTAATAACATGGGAATAATATAAAAACATTAACAGGAGAGAGTTAATAACATTAGTAAAGTAAAATAGTGCTAATAAAGGAATTATACAATTTTTTCAGCTAAAATAAGTTTACGTTTCCTAATACCTAAGCAACAAAATTTTGCCACAGCATAAGTCACTGAGCTCTGAACGTCTTCTAAGAGGAATTTATGAAGGACTTCTGGCCTAAAGTCAAGATAAGACTGCAAAGAGCTAAATCTAGACAGAAGGGGTAGTATAAAATGGTCTCGTTTGTCCTGATAGAATCTGCAGAACAGGAGAACATGAGTAATTGATCCCACCATATTAGCCATGCATGCAGTTCAGTGAGTGAACTGACATTGTCATGCATCCAGATAGCAAATTAAAAGCAAACATGGTTACAAATGCTTTAAAATGGACCCGTCAGCTATTGTCACCCTAAAACTTTAGCATTAATCCATTTGCTACTAAGCTTGTTCTATCGATGTCACCGATAAGGTACAGGAACAGAGGTCATGCAAGGGGTTCCATTTCTTCTGTGCTCCAATAAAAAATAAGCCCTTTGGGCACAGAAAGTTCACCTTCAGTCTTCTACATGGTGCCTAACTCAGCACTGGCACAAAATGAAGAGTTCCCTGCAGGTTTTGCAAGCCTGCTTATCTGGGATTGGCAACGGCACTCCAGGCTTTGATCAAGCACACTTCACTCTTGCAAATGTTTTCTCTTATCTTAATTGGCAATAACTTTGTTTAGGAAACTTCCGTGCCAAAACAAACCTGAGATGAAACCGAGCACGAGGCCAAGAAAAGGAGGCGGTAGAAAAGAGCTCGGAAGTCTGATCTGCTTTACTACCTGCAGAGAATCATACACCCTACGCAGGGGGTTCTTCATCCGCAAGGCAGCTCCCTTGCAGAGATAGAGCTCCCTTAAAATGCAAGTGAACAGAGATCCCCACACCTTTGGGAGCAGTGTGTGCACTGTGATGGAGCACAGCCCATGAGCACAGCCAGAGGCCAAGTGGTTCTTCTTCCTGACACTAAAGCATGGCAAGCTACCCTTAAAAGCAGGCCTCCCCACCTAGTGATCTGCAGAAACAAATACAGTCTACCATCTAGAGTTGCCCACTTCAGGTTGGGAAATTCCTGGAGATTTGTAGGTGGAGCCTGCAGAGTGTGAGGTTTGAGGAGAGGAGGGCCCTCAGCAAAGTACAATGACATAGAGTCCAGAACAGCCATTTACCCCGGGGGAACTGATCTCTATAGCCTGGAGATCAGTCAGAATTCTGGGAGACCTCCAGCCATCACCTGGAGGCGGGCAATCCTAATACATTGCTATAGTGTCCGCCCTCCAAAGCAGCCATTTGCACCCGGGAAACTGATCTCTGTCATCTACAGCCCTCCCACCAGCAAATGTATGGTGGCTCCATCAAGGGTTTTATATATCTATTTTTGCTGTCCAGGGCAAGCAGCTGCCTGTTGACGCCCACCACCCCACTCCCACGGAAAAATGTGCAGTTTTTGCAAAAAATAAAAATAAAAATTGTCCTGTTTCCCAAACTCCAATTCAATCAAAAGAAAATGCACATCTCTCGCCAAAACAACAAATCTTTATTTTCTAATCCCCCTCATTAAAACTTGTCAGATAGGTCCAGCTGAAACAGAGGTTCAGATCTGAAAGAAAACATATTTATAATTTCCAAACAAATGTATCTATTTATTTATTTATTGACATTTTAACCCCACCCTCCCTGCAAGCGGGCTCAGGGCTGTGGTTCAGTGACTGAGCATCTGCTTTGTACGCAGAAAGTCCCAGGTTCAATCCCCAGCATCTCCAGTTGAAAGAACCAAGTAGCAAGACATGTAAAAGATCTCAGCCTGAGATCCTGGAGAGCAGCTGCCAGTCAGAGTAGACAATACTGGCCTTGATAGACCAAGGTTTGACTTGGGCCTATTACACACACACAGCTTACTGCAGAGAATTCAAGCAGTCAAGCCTTAAAGATTGACTTCGAATTCTGTGCCTGCCGTATGCACCATTCTTCTATCTCCGGTGTATTTGTTCTGTAAAGGTAAAGGTAAAAGTTCCCTTGCTCAAAAGCCAGTCGAGTCCAACTCTAGGGTTGCAGTGCTCATCTCCGTTTCAAAGCTGAAGAGCCAGCGCTGTCCGAAGACGTTTCCGTGGTCATGTGGCCAACATGACTAAGCACCAAGGCACACGGAATGCTACAACCAAAAAATGCAGTTTTTCTCAATTGGGGTGGGAACATCACTGGTGTGGGGGGTGGCATCCAAAGGTTTATTTATTTATTTATTTACACAATTCCCCTATTGCAGCTGTGCAGTAGCATCAAGTAAGCACCTTCCGTTTAAATCTTCATGGTTCATTCCCTTGAATGAAAAGGAGCATAAGGGAGAGCAGGCCAAGTTTTTTTTAAAAAATCCTGAAATCGACCAAACTATTTTTGAAACTGACTAGAGCAGCTGCAAAGCTCCCTCTTCTTATTGCCACGCTCTAGTGGATTATCTGTTGTGTTATCAGCCACTGTGAAAAATGGGAGTCGCCACCACCATCTGCCATCCCCCTCCTTCATTGCCGCACAAGCACCATTTTGAATGTTTAAAATTTTTTCTCATAATTTCAATTTTTTTTGTTATAAGTGGTATGAGACTAGCAATAAAACATTAATTTAAAGCAACCATATGCAAGAGAGTGCACAGTAATGACAGACCTACATGCACTTGTGGGCAGGAGGCTGAAGAAAGAGAAGGGAGAAGAAGAGAGAAGGCGAGGGGGGGGAGAAATCCTCCGGCATGACATCCCAGTTGATTTCTAAAAAGGAGCTCAGAGGCATTTCTCCACTTGCTGGATTCAAATTCTATAAATCCAGTTTGCTGCGAGAACAAAAGAGTGAGCTCATGGCCAAAGCACTCTGGAGACTTGCTGGGTATTTTGGGATACATGGCTGGCTGAGCTTTCTTTCCATTTCTCCCACAGTCACCGGCTGAGCATTGGCGGTGGCAGTGGTGTTCACTGCTGGGCTTGATTGGTGGCACAAAACCCAATGCCGGTCTTCCCCCCCACACACACACACACCTTTCAGAGTTTGCAAAGAGGCTTCTTGGAGAGCTTCCAGAGAAGCACGTTTCCCCCCCCCCCTGACATTTCTTTTTCCCCAGCGATCCTTGACAAGTGATAGTCTCATATCACTAGGCTCATGCCGCTTGTAATGTAAAACAACAAGGGGGAAAGTAATCAATGGAGCTTGCACACTGAGTGTCCATCAGAATGTGTAGAGTGGGTAGAACAACTTCGATGTGGGCAGCAGAGTGGCCTTTGAGGGGCAGCAAAGGGGTGGGGGGAAATCCAAGGGAATCTGTATGCTTTTGCATTACCTTCGGCTTAGAAGTGAAACAAGGGAAGAATTGGCACAAAACCACTCTCAGAAAACCTGGGGAAACAGTCACCAGAAGGCAAACTGAGCACTGGGTGGGGGGGGGAGAATCAATGCAGAATGAAAAAGAAAACCTGACGGAGATACAAGGCAAAATTGAGGGGAAACACCTGTGCATAATAGGCCTTGGAATTAGGCATCTTTATGTATCCACATGTTTAATTGATTCTTCAAGCAGCTCCATTTGAAAATGTCATATCATCACAATATGCATTTCTAACATCTTACATATAGTGTTTGTGGACCTCCCCCAGGGCTAAATAAGGACACAGGAGACTTATCTCACAGCAGTTGCTAATTTTCTGTCCCTAAGCATTTCTCCCCTGCTTTAATCAAGCCAATTACATTTTGCATTGTACATCTGCATCCTGACTCCTTTCTTTGCATCACCTTCAGACTGAGATACAGGGATTACGGATCTCCATTCTAACTTGTATCTGACAAAGAGAGCTTTGATTCTTGAAAGCGCGTACCACCAAAAATATTGTTTGTCTCTAAGTTGCTACTGGACTTGCATTGGTGTTTGTGATGTTTTTGACAACTTTAGAATACCAGCATTTATTTTGCAGTGGGAAAATTAGCCTGCTGGTTAAACAGTGGGTTTTAAAAAATTTAATATTGAGAAATTTGAAAAATAACTTGCAAAAACCCTCACCTCCCCCACCATTTCTACCCAATTTAAGACCATCATCCTCTGAGGTTGAAGAATATGAATTATTTTAATCAATTTGCTTGTGCTGCATATAAGTTCTTGAAATGTCTCTCCTGAAACAGATAGCAGCTATTCTAAAAGAAATTTCCAACAATAAATAGAAAGGAAAAGCTTTTTTTTTTCCTTTTAAAGAGACAACAAAACCCAAGTTATGCTTCACTCAGACAAATTCAGTCCAGGGAGGTCTGCAGAAGGTCAACAGTGTCTTTAACGGTGTTCTATAACTGCATGGTTAGGAAAAGGACACTTTCGTCTGTCTCTTGGTTACATAAGAATCAGCAGACACACCAATAACATCAAAAAGTTGGCAATGAGGGAGGAAGCATGGCTGGATAAGTGAACTCCGGGACCCTTTTGGCCTCTGGTATCCGATCGCCAGTCCCGTAATTCACGGCCATTCGGGTCTTTGAGAAATTTGATATCTGGGACGTGGCTGTGGATCCAGGGTTGAAAGTAGGTAAGTCGACTGTACACACCAGGACGGTTCTTGATAGCACATCCTTCACCCCAGCTGACAATGCCGGCCAAGACCCAGGAATGACCAACAAAACACACCATGGGACCTCCAGAGTCGCCCTGGGAACCAAGACAATAGAAATCAGTAATAACAAAAAACACCCTTTCTAAGGACAGTTTATGCATTACAAAGTCCTCGTGTCTCCCATAGGGCCATCCCACTCATGTCAACCAGACATTCTTTGGAAGTTCTGTGCTCAGACTTTATTGCTGACACACATTGGGCCTCATCAGATTGGGACCATGACGTACAAAGAGAGGATGCTTAAACCTTCCCCCTGCACAGTTTCCCAGCCTGAAACAGTCCCAGGGAGGTGCACTACAGGAGAGATTAATATGTAGACATCAGTATTCACGTTCCCCAGCTGAGGAAAAAGTGACTTCTAGGGGGCGATTTCTCACTAGAGCTGCCTCGCAGCACAGCGCCGTTTGCCCCGACACAAACATGTCAATTTCACACCCGAGGCTGCGGGGCTGCATTTGAGTCGGGGCTTTGCCCGATTTCCTCCGCAGTTTCATGATCCTCAAAAACCAGGATCACGAAACTGCGGAGGAAATCGGGCGAAGCCCCGAGTCAAAATGCAGCCCCAGAGCTTCGGGTGTGAAATTGACATGTTTGTGTCGGGGCAAACGGCGGCTGTGCTGCGAGGCAGCTCTAGTGAGAAATCGCCCAGGGACTTTTCAAGTCTGGAAATGATGTGGAGATGGGCACCAAGCTTCCTCTCTGTGGTTCCGATCCAAATTGGGCCTGCATATGTTTGGGAATTAAGTCCTGAGCATGGAACTCTCAAACTGGCTGATCAGTGTCGAAAGCCAGGCTGTTCATGACTAAATTATGATGTTCAAAGACTGAGTGATGATATTGGCTATGGGTTACCAGGTGTGCTAGAAATATTTTGGGGTAACATTTAAGGACTTGTAGGATGTGAAGATGAGGACTTAAGGTTGAATCCAACCAGCTTTACCACTGGTGAGGAGAGGTCTCCTCTGACCTCAAAATTGTCTATACTGAGGATTATGAGATCTGCATAGACAAATTGAGGCTATAATAAGGAGGGGAAATGGGTGAGATTGAATGAAACAAACTGGCTGGATCCAAACTTTGATCTAATATATTTCTGTTATACCTAACTTCTGGAAACTTCTGTGTTGCTAAAATCTGGAAAGATCAAACAATACCAGATGCTATGATTTGGTGTTTGAATTACAGGCTCTGACTGTAACGAAGAAAAAGGACAAGTTATTAGTGGAACTAAAAAAAAACCCAGTAACACTTTCCAACGGAAATGATATAGACAGATAAATGGGTTTGAAAATGCAGTGATTTTCACAGCAAAAAACTTTGATCTGTTACAATAACAACTTATCCTTGAAACTGAATGGGCAGCAATTTCCTGTGAGCTATTATGTTACCGTAGTTTTTCTAAAAGCATAAATACACAATGGCGTTTAGGCAAAATATCAACCAAACTAACAAACATAAAGAAGAGAGTAAGGCCCCTGCCACACGGCAGGGAAAACACTGGGCAAACCGCAGCTTCTAAAAGCCACACCAAAAAAGAGACACCGCGGCGGGATCCCAAGATCCCCTGAGCCACGGCGCCGTTGCTCCCCGGCACGATCAGATGCTGGGGAGGAAGAGACGAGTGGGAGGGGGAGGCTGCCGAACTGCGCATGCTCGAGCATGCGCAGTACGGTTGGGGGCCGGGGATGCGCTGGCGAAAAGACGCACCGGCGATCCCACGGCCGGCAGTGATGCGGCCCTTCGGAAAGAACCACCAAGGTAGGTGGTTCTTTTTTGCTGCGGGTTTTGGCCGGGAGGGGCGGATTGGGGACGGGCTGGGAACGGGCGCAGCACGATTCCGAGATGTTGCTGTGGGATCGCGCCCGTTTGCTGCGGCCCCGATCCGTCCCTCTCCCGGCCCAAACCATCCAGTGTGAACAGGGCCTAAGTATCCAGTAGCACCTTAAAGACTAAGGATATGAATTTTATGAGTCACTGCTCACTTTATGAGTCACTGTATCTACTCACTAGATACAGCTAGAATGTGAGTCCATCCGTCATATATATTGTGTCATATATAGGCATATATAGGCTTACTACCTCTCTGCATACACTTAATCCAATCACACCTTCTATTGTCATTTGCCTGCTAATGTTTTTTGGTGTCTGAAATCACCCCACTTTAGAGTATATAGGACAGGTGGGCTCCCATTCTAGCTGTATCTGAAGAAGTGAGCAGTAACTCTACCCATCTTGATCTAAATTTAAAGAACAAAAGGTTAAAACAATGCCATTAAATTATCAAACTTACTTTATTTAAAATCTGCAGATTGCCCCCTTCACACAAAGTGGTGACCACACCTATCAGTGCATTATGAGTAAAGCACCCTTACACTATGTGTGCTTACAGGACTCCTAGTGATCATGGATCCAAGGTCTGAAAAGATCTTTTCCCTATCTCCCATTCTAGTAGAATACAGGTGGGGAAACCTCTAACAAAACTGATCTGTATGGGTTCAGGAGAGCCAAAATACAATTCTTTTTTCACACATGGTGTTTTATGGAATTCAGTGCCCCCCAAATGGGGTGGTGGGTGGTGGCCACTGGTTTAGATGGCTCTAAAAACAAACACATGGGGGATGGGCACAGTTAGGGCATAGGGCTACTAGAGCCATGATAACCAAATTGAACTGATTCAGAACTAGTATACTGAAAGCTATTATTTTCATGCCCTGCCTGTGAGCTTGCAGGAAATAGCCAGCTAGCCACTTTGGGGAAATGGACACTGGACTAATGTGACTTTAGTTTTGATCCAGCAAGATTTTCCAGTCTTATGCTATACCTTTGCCTACCCTTTAAGAAGCAAAAGCTGTGGTTCTCTCACCTTGCAGGCATCTCTCCGGCCCTCAGCATACCCAGCACAGATCATATCATCCTTGATCATCCGTGGAGGCAGGCCATCACCCATGTTGGTTCGGTAGAGTTCGCTGCATGTCTGGGAGTCAATGATGGGCACCTGCAACTTCTGGAGGGTTTGTGGGGAGGGAAGGTCAACTGCAATGACAACACCGCACACCACTGAACCGGAGATTCCTAAAGCCCACCCTCCTGGGCTCCTCCCACACACCTCCTGCCATTCCCCAAGCCACGGTGTTCATAATGGATAGGGGCACTGGCAGATAAGACAGCCAATGGCACTTAGTCATGGAGGCTGACTGTAGGGTTGCCAACATTGCCTCAGCAAATGCCAAGAGATATTGGAGGGCTGCCTGGGGAAGGTGGAGTTTGAGGAGGATGTGATGTCACTTCCGGGTGATGGGTTTCTTAGACTGTTAATATTTGGAGGTCATTTTTTTTCTTCTGCTCCTCAATTATTTTGGGATGGGAGGGAAATAGAGTTGTGGGCAGGTAATTCCTCACCCTAGGTGAGTAAATGGGAGGCCTTAGTTAAATAGTTAAATAGGACCTCCAGTGCCAGGGTTGTGGAGGTGTCTCAGAGGCAATAATAGAATGAGGTTTTATACCTCTGTGTGGACCTTCCAGAGTTCTCTGGCTATTACTATTAGACACAGATTCAACCAGGTTTTTCCCTGGTGAGAAAGGGGGGAGGGGGTCCCTGTTGGCTATTCAAAACAATTGTTCTAGAGATCAAATGACCCAAAAAAAAAAAGAGAGATGGGGAGCTATATTAAGGAGCATTGCATGTGACGGGGTGAAAAGGCTGGTTGGATCCTGCCCATGATGCTGTATTAGACAGACATTTGGTCTGATCCCACAGGGCTCTTCTGATGTTCTTATAATATTCCCATTCTGCCACATATTCTTCCCCAGTCTCTCCACTTCATTTTCCTTTCCCTATGACATCAGAGACCCTGGAGAGCTGCTGCCAGTCAGAGCAGATGGTTCTGATATTGACAGAGTACTTAAGCAGCTCCAGGCTGCAGAGTGACCTGCTGCTGGCAGGGAGGCCAGGCCAGCTGATGGAAAAGCCCTTGCTCTCTCTCCTTCTGCTAAGCTGAGGAGGAGGCTTGCCCCTGAGCAATTGGGCAGCAGATTTTTTAAAAATTCCACTTATTTTTAATGCAAGTACTCATAAATCTAGGACTTTCAATAGGGTGTAGACCACATGCATTTTCTTTTACAGGGGAGTGGGTTTATTAGGGGTTCATTCCATTTTGTATGTTTTGGGACTTGTAAGCCTCCCTCAGCCGCAAGGAAAGAGGGGATATCACAGTTTTAGGAGAGAAATAAAAAAATGGGTGGCAGGCATCTTTTGAGACAAAGCATTCATTTTTCCCGGACACCTCCATTGGGACATATCTGAAAACGAAGTGAAACTCTTTCTTCTTCTGAATTATTGTTTCTCTGCAGATCTATCCAGGTTTGATCCACTGATTTGCATAAGAATAAAACAATAGATCTGAAGAAGAAAGACTTCTTCCTTTGTGTTCTAGCTGATGTGCTCGGCTCATGTGCTTCAGAAGATGCCGCCCATTAATCTATCACAAATCATGCAGTCAGCCAGCTAAGGTTTCAGTTAATTGAGTGACAGCAATAATAATGATTCTAAGGCAGGCAGCTAGGGGACACAATAAGTTCACCAGGGCTATTTTTGGGCAGGAACGCACAGGAACCGAGTTCCGGCTGGCTTCCAAGTTGGCCACGCCCAGCAGGAACTCATTAGCATAACAGGCCACATCCAACATCAGAAACTCATTCGGATTGGCTACATTAGGGGTGTGCGGTCTAACATGCAAAGGAGTTCCTGCTACAAAAAAAGCCCTGGGTTTTGACAACAAACAAGGTAAACAGAATAAGAAGCAAAAGGTGGGTGTGGCTGGATGAGCACACTTCTGGTAACATGGGGGTGTGGCCTAATATGCCAATGAGCTGTGCTGTGAGGGGTGTGGCCTAATAGGCGAATGAGTTTCTGCTGTTGGGTGTGGCCTATTATGTAATGCGTTCCTGCTGGGCTTTTTCTACAAAAAACGCCTTGAGGTTCACTATGCACGCTTGACCCTCAGCATCTCTTGCTCTGGAATTAGGGGTTGCCCACAACCCTGTCACTCTGTTCCTAGATCTCCACTTTCTTCACCATGTTTTTCCTCTTCCCTAGACCTACCTGAATTGCGCAAGTTGCCCCAGCCAGTGACCCAGCACAGTTTGCCTGGGGGAAACTTCACAGAGGCATCCGGCAGGCAGATGGGCAAGATCAGGTCTGAATAGCGGACCCTCTTTGACAGCTGCACGAGGGCAATGTCCCCGCTGGTCGTCTGGCCGGCATACATCGGGTTGACGATGACCTGCTTCACTTCCAAGCAACATGCCTGTGGGCCGGGATTGGATAACTGGTTGACCCCCAGGAGGACGCGGTACTGGGACAGATCCCTAAACCTGGAAACAGGACAGCAAATGTGGGGCAGGGTCAAGAGATGTTCTAGGGTGAGAGACAGCAGGGTCGGGGTGTGTGTCAGCGACCCAGATTTCCCAGCCCCATCTACTCACTGATAAAAGCAGTGTGCTGCAGTTACAACCCACTCGTCCGAGATGAGGGACCCCCCGCACACATGCCTCTTGTTCAGCTGTAAGCTGATCTGCCAGGGAAACTCGCCCGGCACTGTGTCCTGTCCCTTCACAATCCGGTTGAGGCTGATGGGAGGCTGTCCACAGGCTACAAGAGAGAGGAGAGGATTGTTGGAGGGCTCCGACTTGGGGGTTCTGAGTAGGGCACTAAGATCATACTGATCCCAGTCAAACATGTTCAGGCAATCTTTTCTCCTGGGATATATCATGTACTCAGATCAAATCATTATTCACACGACCGTTGTCCTTACAATGATTGGAAAGAAGGCAAGCCTGCAGCAGGTACTCATGCAGAGATGCAATGATCAGCCTCCTCTGAAAGCAGGATGTTTATCCTGGTTTCTGTATCAGGAGCAAGTGGATGTGCTGATCCCATCTGGTGCAAAACCAGGCAAGAACTATCCACCCGCAGAACAGCCTGATTGAAAAGAAACAAGGCCAGAGCAGCAAATCATGCAGAAATGCAATGAGCAACCTATTCTACTGAAACTGAAACAATAATCCCCCCTTGGCCTATGCTGATTGGAGGGGGTAAGGCTAGAGCAGAGATTTAAGCAGAGATGCAGCAGGCAGCCTCTTCTGTAAATCCGCATTTAAGGCTCTTGGAAACAGTTTAATATATTTCTTGCAGCAGACACTTTGGGAATTGCCTGGGGAAGGTAGCAGAAAAGTGTGTTTAAATGGAACAAAATGAATGCAGGAAGGCAGGAGATGTTCCCCGTACAAACATGACTCAGCCACCAGCCCACAGTCCTAACAGGAAGAAGATGGTAATAGACAGACTATATGCTAGATTGTCAATAAATATGCACTCACCTCTGGATGCCTGATTCTCCTGGACACCTGCAACACAACAAGGCACAGATAAGTGGAAACCTACAAGAGTCATTGGGCCTAAGAGAGCCAGATTTATATTCCTAACCAGCCATATAGGATCCCCAGTGGGTACCTATTCTTCATTACAAGTAGGTGCTTTTGTACCCAGAACTGTTATCTAGAGAAAGCCAAAAGGTCCACCCCTTTCCCTCCCAAAGACTCCAAGCACCCTGGACCATCGGGAGGCCGTTGTTAACTCCCAGCACCCATTGACAACATATAGTGAGTTGGAAATTTTCAGAGAAAGCTCCAAAAAGCTTTATTGTTCAAAGGAAAACTTAGATTTAAAAAAAAAAATGAACAAGTGGGCTGTGCATGTATAAAAGGGGAAGTTGAAGCAAAATGGGGAAGAAGTGCAAATATTTTAATAGATGGGCTTCAGCGATCTCAGTAAGTTGGAGGGCTGGGCAGATGACACAAAAAAACAAGAATAGGCAAATATCAAAACTAGGAGTTCATCTAGCTGAAATGAAAATCTCCTGCCATTTTCACATGCTGGAATCCTGGGTAGAACCAGAAGCCTTTTGGCCTTCTTTTCTAAGTAGTCAGCCCAGACCCATATCTTACTTGGTTTTCCATCAGGGGTCACAATTATCCAAGATTAAGGAACAGGAAGGCAGGATGCCTGTATATGGATCGCGGGCTCTGGAAAAATGCAGCAGTGCCTGAGGTGGGGCAGCTAAGCTGGCTCCCCGCCCAACCCATCGCTTCATCCCAACCCACATAGATCCATGCCTTCCTGTCGCCAGTCACAAGTAGGAAACAATAAATTGGTATGGCCCAGAATTCTCCACTGTCTGGAACATCGATCTTACTTTGTCCCTCTTGATCAGATCAGCCTGCCGCTCCGCCATGGCATCACACTTTCCATTCCAGATCAAGGCCCGGTGTTCCGAAGACAATTTCCCTCTTCAAAACTAATTTAGCGAAGCCATAATTTACTTTCCCCCACCCACCTGCCAACGCCCTGAAACCCAATTATAACATCATCAGAATCAACTCAAGAAACTATTACGGCGCCTCTTTCATCGACGTTAATGACCTTTCCATGCCGGCACTCGTCTGGCGCAGGCTCGTTAAGATGATATCGCTGCCCTTGTTAGTACAGTGAGAAAAAGAGGAGGTGAAATGACACAACCCCTGAGCTACACATTTTCCCTGAGGCGCTGTGTTCCACAGAAGTCAGAGGCCCTGTTACCTCTCACAACGGAGTCGGGGGGGGGTACCTGTTCAACACAGTTCTTTGTGGCCTGACCTGTAGCTGTCCCGAGGAGGGGTCACCGAAGAGAAGGTACTGCCACAGTACCCATAATGTTGCCCTTTCTCATCTGTTAGTAGCACCAAGCAGTCAGAAGTACATATCATCCCTGAATATAGAATTTTGCCTTCAGACATAAGACCCTAGTCCCTAGGGTTTTTTGTTTGTTTAGTTAGAAAATCCATAGGCCGCCTCTACAGAGAAACTGCCATTGTACAAAGTAAACATGATAAAATCATAAAATATAAAAATCTAGCTATTAACGTTTTATAAAATTCATACCCTTCCTACCCTCAGGAAACTATTTCACATGGATATATGAGCACAGCATGTCTGTCCTAGAATCCCTGCTGAGCAACATTTTCATTTCTTCTTTACAATTGCTTCCAGTTCTCATTGTGGGTTTCTGTTCTCTGTTTTTGTTGGTTTTACAGATACCTTTTAATCATAGACATCACACAATTTTTGCATGCTATTTATACTTAGAACATGCAACCACGCATATGCGTAATATACATACAGTGTATAAAGTTGATTTATCGATGTAAAAACATTAAAATGGCACATGTTTTATGGAAGCAATTTAGTGAGCATTCACACAAAATGACATGAAAACATGGGGGCTAATTCCCAAAAGATTTATTCTCAATGCACTCACCTAAGGCCTGACTAACACGTCTGAGAACCAGTATTCCCACAGTGCTCATGAGTTCTTCCGCAGCATATCTAATAGCATGTGCCTCTTCTGTTTGTGTGTCGACATGGTTACAGACCACCCAGACAATGCCTATTCAACTTCTAGAATGGCTGTCTTCAGTGTAATGTACTATCCGTTCAACCACCATTCACCGAAGATAGGTTCATCAATGGCTGTTACAGTTTGGCTAAATGTTACGTCCATGTTCAGAGGCAGTAGACCTCTGATTACCAACTGCTAGTGGAGAAGAGGCTTTGGCCTCTGTGCCCCTGCTTGGGTATCTTGTCGGCTACCGTAGGAAACTGGGCTAGGTGGGATTTGATCCAGCACACTCCACTAAACTTCTTATTTGTTCAAGTGAAATGAAGATGCATAACTGGAACATCATGGAAACAACCATAGAGGGGCAGTCACTGTGGATCACAAGTTATCATGGAGATCAGGCCCAGGATGGCTTTCCCAAAGTGATCTTATTTCTTCCCTATTATTTTTCTATTACACACATAAAACTGAGTTATAGAAGGTCAGACCCTTGGTCAATCTTGCTCTGCATTTCCTACTCTGACTGGCAGTGGCTCCCCAGTTCCTCAGAGTGTTTATTGAGATTCTTCCATTAGAGATGCCAGGGATTGAACCTGGGATCTTCTCTATGCAAAGCACATGCTCAGCCAATTAATCATACCCTGTCATGCCTTACCATGACATCACACCAACCCGCACTACACATGTTCAAAATATTAACATCTTCATGTTCTTAGAAATACTGCCTCCTTTAGTTTCTAGTAGCAAGAAGTCACACCCAGGAACAGCATGGCAATATGCATCTTTAAAATCATATTCTGCCTATGTCATGGACCACAATATGTTCTTGTAAGAGCCCAAGGATTCAGACAATGAAGGGAATGACTACCTAGCACAACCACAGAAGGAGGTAGTTGACGCACCTCCAGGACCCTCGTTTGATGTGCCAGAGGAGCCCTAGAAGCCAGAGTCAGCTCCCTTACCCAGGGATACAACCCTGCCTTTGGTCTCAGACATGGACCCTGAACCCTCCACCCCAGAGCCCACTGCAGCACATGAGGACTCTCCCTCAAATGACCCCCTTGAGGCTCACAAACCCTGAAACAGCATGACACTGTTGGAGTACTCGCCGCCATAACCAGGCATGGCATCTTGAAGAGCCACTAGCCTGCCCCCGGAAGGGTAAGGTTTGCAAATCTACTTCCTTGCATCAATACTTAAGATCTCAGATCACCCTCAGCTTTTACAGTAGGGTTGCCAGTCTTCAAGTGCAGCCTGGAGATCTCCTATGGTTGCCAGGTCTCCTCACCATTGTGGTGGGGGGATTGGGGGGGGTGTTCCGGGGGTGGACATCATGCAATGCTGGGACCTGGGGGCTGGCAACCCTAAGATCTCAAGGAATTACAACTGATCTCCAGACTACAGAGATAAGTTCTCCAGGAGAAAATGGCTGCTTTGGAAAATAGACTGTATGCATTATACCGGATCCAAACCCTGCCCTCCCTGGCTCCACATCCAAATCTCCAGGAATTTCCCAAGCAGAGTTGTCTAGATTACATGATACAGTGCTATGGGCTCTCCTGTACAGGGGCAGTCTTAACCAATAGACAACGAGGGTAGCTGCTCCAGGATCCATGCTGGGGAGGAGCAGGAACTGCCTCTGTCTCTAACTCCCAGTGGAGGGGGGCAGCCAGCTCAGCAGCAGCAGCTTTTCATGGCTGCCCCATTTGGGGCTTGGGCAGTCAGCTCACTAGTAGTGGCCACTTGCACCCACCTGTTTGAGGCTGAGGCAGCCAGTTTTGGGGGGCAGAGGCACCTCTATCTCACATTACAAAGGCTGGGGGCCAGTCTTTGCTTTGGCCCAAGTGCCAGAGGGCAGGTGGAGTGTGGGGCCTAGCAGTGGGACAGCAGTGATTCTGAGGCCCATCCTGGATTTTTGTCCTGGTGCCCAGAATCACTAAGATTGTCCCTGCTCCTGCCTTGATTTCTGCCTTGACTCCTGGACCTCAGCCTTGTGAACAACAAAATGGCCTCAGACACCCAATACTGTGTTGGATCCAACCAACTTTTTCACTCAATTTCACTCAATTAACTTTCTCAATACAGCCCCCCCCCCATCCAACATGGCTTTTGTCCACAGAGGCAAAGTTATGCATGCAGGAGTCTCATTTATTCTAGCAACCCTATGCTTAAATCTCCCATGGCAATAAATCTCCCATGGCGGTTGTCAAAGAAAGAAATGTTTATGTGCAACCCGACATTGCCCTTTATTCTCCATAGCTTACAAGAACAGTCACTTTGGCCTTGATCCAACAAGAGTGATCTACCAGTGGAAACCTATCTGTTTAGCCAGTTCCAGCACCTCAGAATGATGTGGAAAAATCATCTGATCTAGCATATGAATTGGGAACATAGGATTAAAGGTAAAGGTAAAGGTAGAGGTTTCCCTTGCTCAAAAGCCAGTCGAATCCTACTCTAGGGGGCAGTGCTCAACTCCGTTTCCAAGCCAAAGAGCCAGTGCTGCCCAAAGACTTCTCCATGGTCATGTGGACGGCATAACTAAATGCCAAAGCTCACAGAAAACTGTTACCTTCCCACCAAAGTGGTACCTATTTATCTACTTGCAATGTCTTGCTTTCAAACTGCTAGATTGGTAGGAGCTGTGGCCAGAGATGGGAACTCACTCCGTCCCACGGCACTAGGGTCTCGAACTGCTGAACTAAAGACCTTCTAGTCTGCAGCTCAGCATCTTAACCTCTGAGCCACCATGGCCCCTAATAACACAGGATTAGGGTGCTGCAATGCCATGAGTTGGATTCAGCCAGATTTAGTTCAATATCTCCCATTTCTCCTCCTTCCGACAGTCCCCATCCCACATGGTTTTCTTCCCATGGAAGCCTCAGAATAGTCCTTTTTTTGGTTGTCAAAGAAAACCCTGCTTTTCCTTTTCACCAGCAGACAACATAGTTAGGTTCAACCCATAGTCAGTCT